CAGAGTACCGCCGCATGCCGGTATGAAACTTGCGAGAGAGATCGCCACGGTTACCTACAGATCCGGACCTGAGTGGGAGCAGCGCTTTGGCCGTAGGAGAGCTGATCCAGCTAAACCACCCGCATTGTGTCCTGACTTCCTAATTGAGACATATCTAGACCATGCAGGCGAGAAATTTTGCTTGACGTACGACCCAAACAGTTTATTATATGTCAGCAAAGCGATGGACCTCTTTGATTTGGGTCTTGACACACAGCAAGCAGCCACACAACGACGAGCTGAGAGGGAGAAGCTTCTTCAATCTGGATCTTTCCCACAATCGAATGATCCATCCTGTAGCCTTACGCTGCCGGATTTGCCATACTCCGAGCAGCCTGGAACTGAAGTGGATGTGTCTACACCACAAGCACCTGGTGACTCCCGACCCCCAGAAGACCTCATTGCTGGATTATCGACGCTAAGAGATATCCCGATACTCGTTATGGGCGTCGCGAGTGATATTCTCTTTCCTGCTTGGCAACAAAGAGAGGTTGCCAACGCGATACGCCTCACGGGGAACAGGAACGTAACACACGTGGAGCTTAGCGAGGAGCAAAGCATGTTCGGTCACGACACATTCTTATTAGATCTTAAGAATGTTGGGGGGAGTGTGAAGAACTTCCTTGGATAGATCCTGCCTTCCTTACTCTCACATTTATTTTACATAGGTATGAGTTGGTTATGTTCGGCTTCGAGGTTAGCATATGGGGGCGTAAGGTTCACCACACATCAAAAGCATGATTTTCTAAAGCTGCTGCCATATTCTACAGAAAAGGGGTTTTTACACGCGAATCGCTATGAGCTGAAAGTCTAGGCATGAGTCCTGCATATATCACTTGCACTTTCGTGGCTTGCTTCAAGCCAATGAGCTTACAAATAACCTGGTAACTATAGGGAGCGGGGCAAATTATTCTGCAAAGGCCATCTAAGCCAGGGTAATATCCTAGTATTTACTGGTACTATTCTGACAAGTCATATAAATACCTATCTAGGCAGTAACGACTACTATGTGAAGCGACATAAAAATACCTAACGTACTAATATGTTTTTATCTGTTAGTCAAGGCACAGACCTTAATGAGATTGTCGCCAGCTTTGGCTGACCATTTCTCCAAACTTCTTTCCCATCGCGTTATTTGTTGTAATACGCGCCTACACAAATCTCTTATAAAGGCATCCCCATACGCATTACTACGGCAGGTTCACCATTCATACTATATATTCCATTGCAAGAACGTACCGTGTCTTTCCCTTTATAGATAATTCACTCAAACCATCGCTCTATTTCAGTTTTCTTTCCCTCCAGAACAGTCCCTGGATGTTATCATGTTCTAGCAAGCAGATGTGAAGATTTATTAATCGCCAGAAACCGCATGTAAGTTACTTTTTCTCTACAATCAATTTTATCTTACTACAGACTTCAAAACACTAACCACCATCTATCCTAGTCAACATGGCGACGGTCGAGGTATTCGCTATGGGCAACAACGGACCCCAGCAGATCAAGCACATCTGGGAGCAGAACAACAAGATCATGAATCTAGGAATGAAGGGAAAACGATTTGGTCGACCTGCCACACCCGAAGATGGCCCCGCAGTTGAGAGCCTTTTGAAGAAAGGAAGAATGCACCTTCAGTGGCTAGATACTATCGAGATGACGCCCGAGATCAACGAGAAAGCAAGTGTGAAAAAGATGCTCGAAATCGTACTCAACAATCCCAAACTCTTCTATCCCGAAGACATGAAAGAGGCTGCCCAGAAGTTACACTCGAAGTGGGAATCAGACAATTGGGGTGCGAATGCTGTTGCGGAGGACGAGGTAATCACCACTGATCCGGAATCGTTAAATCCAGTCCCCGAGACAGCGATGACAGTCAATGAAACACCAATCGTCCAGAGCGAGCTACCACCGAGAAACCATCCTATCTACGGAGAAAACGGTATTATGCATGGGGTTATGATGATTCGTGGTCCCAGTGGTAAGAGAACCTACCGTCTAAACGATGAAATCCCGAAGCGAACATTCAAGGTCTATGGTCATAACGAAATCCCCGTCGGGGCCTGGTTCCCGTACCAAATAGTGGCTCTTCAGCGCGGCGCCCATGGTTCCTCAGGAGGTGGCATTTCTGGTTCTACTCTCCTTGGCGCCTACTCTGTCGTCGTGGCTGGTATATACGACGACCTTGACGACGATCGAGGCGATGTACTCTACTACTCTGGTTCCAAGAGCCACGACAACGAAGATCGCTCAAGACCAGCTCCGTCTAGCACGGGCACCAAGTCTCTAAAGGCCTCGCTGCGAACAGGATATCCAGTGCGTGTCTTACGGGCTGGTGGACCGACTGCGCCTAAGGGAAACCGTTATCTTCCCAGCTGTGGCCTTCGGTACGTTAATGTCAGATTGAAAAAACGGTAACTAGAATATAGAGCTAACATGAATAGATACGACGGTCTTTATCGCGTCGTCTCGCTACAGGAACGTCGGAATCGGAAGGGTAAGTGATTGATGATGCAGAGATGTTTCCCAAAGTAGGGATACATCTGTATCTCACAGCAGCGAAAGCCGATCCTTGAGAAGATTACTCGACAGTGCTAATATCTGGCCTTGCAGGTGGACTGTACGAGCGTTTCCAGCTTCGAAGAGAAACTGGACAAACTCCGTTGGAGGAAATGTAAGTGTGGTCGACTGTTTCACGAATATCAGTTGTTATTAGAAGAAAGTTTACTGATCTTTTCATAACCTAGAATCTACACCTCGCCCACTCCACAGCAGAAGCGCGATCTAGCTGCACTCCAGCAAGAATATTAAGCATATTCACACCAACTTCTACCCGATTTTTTTTCGAATGACGTGGGTCGTCCGCGACCAGTGCTAAATGTACTAGCTATATCGGAATAAGAGTCAAGGTCGGCGTCGCTTCTATGCGGCAGCATTAATAGTTAATAAGACCGCTATAGTCCAACATCCTGTCTATTTGCGGTCCATTCCCGGCTCGATTCATGCATGGAGGCTTCCATGATATATAACAGGTGGCTGTTAGGGTTGCATTTATAAATAGCGTAAGACTTCGGGAATAGTAACTTAGCTGTCGATTTTCAGAACTTCCAACTACACCGCATGTGAACCCGTGATACTATACCGTATATGAAAGAAAATGGATATCCTGTGACGATCGACCACAATCCAAAAGGGGTAATTCCATGGCTCCGGCTGATCTCCGTCATGCAAGCTGTTAACGCCGCGTCGTATTACATGCGTGACGCCGGATATAGCAAGTGTGAATCCCGGCAACAACCCATCTCTGCTGAATAATTCACTTTCGGACTGTTGAAATGAGGCCATTTTGATCTTGAAGACTAATAGTAGCTAGAGTTCGAGATTGACAAGGGGTAGGTAGTATCGGATTTAACATGTCGTTGAATTTCTAAGCATGTCGTGGGCAGATCATCAACTCCGGTCTGGGTGAAGATGGCGCCAGATACACGACCATGGTACCAAAGCCATCGTAGATAAATAGGAGAGCCATCCGCCGTGATACAAGATGAATTACTCCGTGGCAGATAAGTTCACAGCATACACATCAAGACTAAACTTACAGTAGCACATAAACTCGTACTCCAACTCCTCTTTAGAACACGAACAAGCATCCACCCTCACATCATCACAATGTCCAAGTACAACAAGCTCGCAGGCAAGCACGTCCTCGTGATCGGGGGTTCCAACGGCATCGGGCGGGGCGTAGTAGAAGCCTCGATCGAATCCGGGGCGCGCGTAACGCTCTCAGGCTCGTCCCCACAATCGGCATCGAACGCCGTCGCCGCCATCAAAGCCACGTACCCCTCGGCGACTCTCATCGGGCTCTCAACAGATCTCTCCAAGGACACAGTCGAAGCAGACCTAGACGCGCTGCTAACGCAAGCCAAAGAAGCCCAGGGCCAGGAAATCGACCACATAGTGTTCACGGCCGCGGACCCGCTCGTGGTCCTGCCCATCAGCGACGTCAGCCTCGACAAGATCCGACACATCGCGCACATGCGCTTCTCCGTGCCGGTGCTCGTCGGCAAGGCCGCGGCGAAGCACCTGCGCCGCAGCCCGGAAGCCAGCCTGACCCTGACCACGGGCGGGATCGCGGACCAGCCGGCGCCCGGGTGGTGCGTGACGGCGTTCACGGGCGCGGGGCTGACGGGGCTCGCGCGGAACCTGGCGCTGGAGCTCAGGCCCACGCGCGTCAATGCCGTGGAGCCCGGGATGGTGGACACGGGGCTCTGGGAGGCGATGGGGTTGACGGCGGAGACGAAGAGGCTGGAGATGGCGCGGTGGGGGGCTCGACTGCCTACGGGACGCGTGGGCGACGTGGTGGATGTGGCCGAGGCTTATGTTTACCTTATGCGGGATGCTAATGCTACTGGCGAGACGGTTAAGACTCGGAGTGGTTCTGCTTTGGTTTGAGGGTTGGTTGGTGTGTTGGGTTGGGAGGTGGGATGAAGGTTCGGTGGAGGTTGTGGATGTGGATAGGGGAGAGGGTTTGAATGATACGTACCTGCATACTTGCGTGCTTCCTAAATGAATAATACTTAAATAGGAAATTTATTTTAGAGGCAAGAACGGTCGTTCAATCGAGTGCGCTGTTGCCATTATTGATGTTTTTTTTTGACGTGATCACCTGATCATTCAAACCTCAAAATCTCCTATTTAGGAAGTCTGTTAAAAGCAGCTATAAGAGATCTATAAGGCCAATACATGAAAGTGATATATATGCTCATATTGTCTTTAGGAAGTTTATATCCTTCTTTCGCACATGTTATGTAATAGAGAATGCTTCCGTCTCTAATACCATAAAATCTACTTAATTAGTACATCGGAGCCATGTCTGACCAGAAGGAAGGTTCAAAAAATGAGAAAAAATACTACTATTAGAACGCAGACTGTCCGGGGCAGGAACAGCAAAAGGGAATCGGAAACTCCGATGCGGGGAATCGAACCCCGGGCTCCTCGGTGTTTAAGGTCTTTGAGACGCTTGAAAACGAGAAATGTTGACCACTACACCACATCGGATTTGACATCCGATTTGTTGAAAGGATTTTTTCAGCAGTAGCTTATGTACTAGACGTGTTAGTTGTAGCTTGTTCGGTGAAAACCCGGCCTTGGATAGCTTGAAATGGCTTGGAATGGTGGGGGAGCTAGCCTGTGGGCCATGAGATGTCTGTTCGCATGGAGAACCTTCATCTTCACTCTTGCAAAGCTTCCCGAGGGAAAATAGCATGATCATAAAACAACTCCTCATGCCAGGTAAGAAAACAGGAGAATGAGATATCTTTCTTTAACTGAGAATGCTAGGAAAGGGGCTGATCAAAAGCAAGGAACTCTTATGTATCATACCAAGCTGGCGGGGGTTGGTAACATTTACTAGTGGCACTCACAGTAACAACATGAATTATCACATCTCATTCGAATATCTACAGCTAAATCTACTATCAAAATTGTTCCAGTATTTATTGCTATAATTTTTGTTATGGGTAATATAGCAAAAGGAGTAGCAAAACCGACCTTCAATGTTGCTGTCTTCTGTACTGTATACAACCTATAAGCGATGAACACCCCAGGTACCCAAGTATTCCTACATGTATACTCAATCAAACTTAAGACTCATATTTAGTATAATAAAATTCATCTACTCAAGAATATACGAATTACCTTATTAGAAGAGGACTTATATGAAGATCCATCATAGACCCCAGCCTGCAGTTTCGTACCCATATTCGAATTAAGCATAGAATTAAGCATAACCACAAAACTCGGGCAAAGAAGGCAAGACGTCATCACGCAATCAAAAAGCAACCACAACCACGCTCCAGCCTTACAACTATAAACATTCTTTGACATGCGCATTATTAATAGAGCCTTATCTCATTATTCAAGTATATCACCATTCTTTCCTCACAATAACCCCAAATTTATTCGCGGCAGATTATCCAGATACACGATGGCATCGACAACCTCCAGACCACCACACATCCCTAAGGACTTGGACCTTCCCGAAGGGCTCTCAGAAGAAAAGCTCCTAGCCTTCTCACCATTCAACGTAAGCAAACCCTCTCTCTCACAATCCAATTCATAGGTATGTACTCACCAACTAACAACCTATTAAAAGAACTGGCTAAAGCAACTCACCCACTCCCTAACCCTCCAACACACCAACCCCAAGCACCCGTTCCACAACGACCCATACAAGCTACACGCCGTGCAAATCCAGAGCTTCGACCTGTTCGGCCGCCCACCGAATCAACGTCTGGGCTTTCTAAAACTCACGGCGTCGATCCGCAACGCGGCCGGCGAGACGCTGCCAGGCAGCGTGTTCCTGCGCGGGCCCAGCGTCGCCATGCTCGTCGTGCTGGTCGACGTGGACACCGAGGAGCGCCACGTCGTGCTCACCGTGCAGCCGCGGATTCCCGCGGGCAGCCTCGCGTTCGTGGAACTGCCCGCGGGAATGCTGGACGAGGGCGGTTCGTTCGCCGGACAGGCCGCGCAGGAGATGCAGGAGGAGCTCGGGTTGGAGATACCCGCCGAGGAACTGCGGTGTCTGAGTGATTTGGCCGTTGCGGACGGTCTAAGCGCCAAGGAAAATAGGGAAGGGGAGGAGGGAGATGGGGAGGAGGAAGAAGAAGGGTTGTCTGCGGCCATGTTCCCCTCCGCGGGCGGATGCGACGAGTTCATCAAGATCTTCCTGTTCGAGCGCCGGGTGCCGGCGAGCGCGCTGCGGGAGTGGACGGGGAAACTTACGGGACTTAGGGACGAGGGCGAGAAGATCACGCTTAAGTTGGTGAGGCTGGAGGATCTGTGGAGGGAGGGCGCGCGGGATGCTAAATGTCTTGCAGCGCTGGCGTTGTGGGAGGGGTTGCGAAGGGAGAATAAGTTGTAAATGAGTTTTACCTTATTAGTCTGCCTACGATTATTCGCGATGCCATGTCATAAGAAAGAGGTGAGTTAAATTGCCAATACGGCATCTACGAAACCTCTGAAAGATGGGGGCCTTAAATCACAGAGCAAGATAGTCCATGATCACCTATATTTCTCATACTTAGCTGTCTCTCTAAGTAACGCCTCGACCTTCTCCACCGTCTCCGAGCCATATACTTCCTCCAGCGTCTGGTCCCCTCGAAGAATCTTCCCATCATGTCTTTTTGCCTCCTCCTTAGTCATGCAAACGAGATCCGAAAGTCGAACATTGGACGACTTCTGCTCGTCGGAGCCCTCCCCAATCCGTACGAGTGTAGACTCCTCTGGCTTCCGCCATCGTATCAAGGTTAACCGGGTCGGAAGTCCAGTAATTGCACTTCGACCTTTGAATATCTCTTCGACGAGGAAGGCCATGTCTCCTGTCGTGACGGGTACCTTCAAACCCAATGTGATGCTGGCATCGCCGCCTGTCATATGTCGAAGGATTTTCTCTTCCCCTCCTTGAACTGCGGCAAGTAATCCGTCGTACATCTTGTCACGGCCCTTTCCGGCAACATAATCAAGTGGATATCCTAAACGAGAATTAGTAACCGTAATTTCAAAATTGAAAGAGCAGATGCTTACCAGTAACAGAAAGTATGATGTGGTTTGCCACGGTGTATCCAAATACCGCCGGCATCGTACCCAACACCGGCAAGATCCGTACCCGGAATTCGGGTAACACACCTAGTTCACCCACTTTACCCTTCTGAAACTCGTCCTCGGGAAGCGGAAGCAACTCAGCTTTTCCCTCGCCCGTCTGTTCCGTCGAATACACGGTCGGAATGCCATTCAGAATCCCTTGCAGCTTCAAGCGTCGACGAGTAGATCTCGACAGGCCGTCGTCCGTACTCGTTCCAATGTCACCCACAGTAACCCGAGTAGGATCGCTCTTGCACCCAGCCCCCATGGCCGATATCACGGGCAACTTATGATCGTGGCAGTATTTCAGCAGCGCGACCTTAGTATCGATATTGTCAATCGCATCGACCACGTAATCCGGCGTCTGCCCGTTCTCCGTCCACGGCGCGAGAAGGCGGTCGGCGGCCTCGTCCCAGAACTTCTCCTGGCGGAGATCGAAACGCACCCAGGGCGCGACGGCCAGCAGTCTCTTTTTCAGACACTGCACCTTCGCGCCGCCCACGTCGGCCAGCGTGGCGACGGCGTGGCGGTTCAGGGAGCTCAGCGTGACCTGGTCGAAGTCGACCAGCCGGATCTTGGACACGCCCGAGCGCGCCAGGGCGGCCGTGCAGTGCGATCCTACGCCGCCGCAGCCGACGACCACCACGAACGAGTTGCGCAGCTTGTCGAGTCCCTCCGGGCTCAGGAAGACGCGGTTGCGGGCGAGCTGCTCGAGGATCAGTTCGTCGTCGTAGTCGCCTGCTTGGGCTCGTCGCGCGAGGAGCTCGTTTCGTATGTCTTCTTTGTCTGCTTTTGATGCGCCGCCAAAGCTGTTAAGCTACCTTGCGCCAGTTAGTGAGTGACTGGGTTTATACTGGAAGGTCATGGTCGGTAGTGGGAGGTAGGGGGGCAGAGGATAGGTATGTTCGTAGGGTTACGCACCCTTCGTATAGCATCGTCTTCGTCTATTAGCGAAGGTATAGAATCCTTGAGCTGACTCATTCGCTCTTCCCGCTGTAATCGTTGGTACCCTAGGATTGCGCCCGCGACAACGGCTCCAGATGCAATGGCGGTTGCGGCGAATTGGACCTTGGAGCTTGAGGAAGCTCGTTCTATGAACGACGACATTGTGGTTTGGGTTGTTCCTTCAAGACCTCTAAAAAGGGTATACAAATAGAAAAGGTAGAAATATAACGAATAATTATGCTTCGTTATAAAGCATCTTCGAGACTGAACGATCCAATCTGGTCTGGTGCATGCATCCGCCTGAAATTCACGAACTCGGAAATTATTTTTGTGATTCGGAGCGGGATGACGAAATTAGTGGCCGGTGCCCGCAATGGTATTAGGTGTATAGTTTCTAGTGGTTCTTTAGTGCCTACAGCACCCGCGCCACACTGTGCTAGGCCCTCCAGGTACTTGCGGGCGCGGGGCTTAATTGGTAGGTACCAATGACCTGCATTCACCTAAAGGCTCAAGCTTTACTTCCAAGGTTGCCAAGTTCAAACCAAGAGGAAACCAAGAATAGCCTCATTCTTGTCATGACTTGGCTTTTCTTTCTTTTCAACGTCTCTCCTAAGTAAAAATTGAAGTTTGTATAATGTCAAGTTGATTATATAATTTCTAAAAATTCATTTTCTGTCCATCACCATTACTCTCCAATAAGTTTATTAATGTCTCGCATATCTTCCAGTCCACCTTTTACATGCTGCTGGAGTTGCTGTGGAATTCGTGGATGCGGCAGATGCCATGGCAAGAAGATTCTGTTCGCCGAGATTGTTTTGGGGGTAACGCGCATTGAATCCAACAACATCGCGCACTGCTTGGTACGTCGTCTTGGAGAGCAACAGCTTCTCGGTAGCCACAGACCAAGCGACACTTTCAGAACATGGTGGTGTTGTGAGCGAACCAGTATATCTTTGAAAGCTTCCACCCTTGAGCAATGTAACCACTTCGGACATGATCAACGGCTTGGTTGTCGTCTCAGTACCCGGCGTGGCAATTTCACTGATGGAAGAGAAAATGGTTTCGAGCAAAGTCGATGGTGTGGCCCGGGGCAAGATATGAAGCTCAAGAACTTGAGCGGTATCTACGAGGTCGACGTAAACACCGATGACGGCGATTTCCTCCGCTTCCGTGCTGAACACCATATGCATTTCCACTGACACCCTTGTTAGTATAGTAACGTCGCAGCCTAGAAAGCGGTGTCTACTTACTCGGTAAACTAACACCATTATCCACGTGCTCACTAGGATGGTGGAAGTGGAATTGTTGCAAGGTGTAGTTCTTCTCTTCGAGAATGAATGTTCCTCCTGTGCCTTCCATTACCACCTCCACTGTCGACCCAAGGTTCTCAAAAGTCGCGCCCTCGGGCACATCAGGAATTGTCAGCTCGATATCGGATGCCGGGATAAGCGTAAATTGTCCTTCAACCATGT